TCAGTATGCTTCTCACCAGATGGAACTACTTTAGCATCTGGTAGTTATGATAATTCAATCCGATTATGGGATATTAAAACAGGATAATAAAAAGCCAAATTGGATGGTCAAAATAATGATGTTCGCTCTGTATGCTTCTCACCAGATGGAACTATTTTAGCTTCTGGTAGCAGTGATAACTCTTGCCGTTTATGGGATGTTAGAAGTGGAAAATAACAAGCCAAATTAGATGGTCATACAAGTGCAGTTCTATCAGTAAGCTTCTCATTAGATGGAACAACATTAGCATCTGGTAGTGGAGATTAGTCTATCCGTTTGTGGAATGTCATGACAGGATAATAAAAGGCAGTCTTCGAGCGTCATAGTAATTCTATCCTATCTCTATGCTTCTCACCAGATGGAACTACTTTAGCTTCTGGTAGTGGAGATAAGTCTATCCGTTTGTGGGATGTTAACACATATTAATAAAAGGCCAAATTAGATGGTCATAGTGATTGGGTCTTATCAGTATGCTTTTCATTAGATGGAACAATATTAGCATCTGGTAGTGGAGATAAGTCTATCCGTTTATGGGATGTTAACACATAATAATAAAAAGCTTAATTGAATGGTCATAGTGACTGGGTCTATTCAGTATGCTTCTCAGCTGATGGAACTACTTTAGCATCTGGTAGTGAAGATAAGTCAATCCGTTTGTGGGATGTTAAGACATATTAATAAAAAGCCTAATTAGAAGGTCATACTAATACTGTCTTTTCAGTATGCTTCTCGCCTGATGGAGCTACTTTAGCATCTGGTAGTAGTGATAACTCTATCCGTTTATGGGGCCAAAAGTGTTAAAAATGAAGAGACTAATATATAATGAGCTTTTAAAATTTAATTTTATTATAAAAATTGAATTTATAAATTTAATTATTTATTATATTATTTTTTTTTAGTATATAATATTATGATGAATAGGAAATTTATATAAAATTTAAGGAATAAAGACAAGGCACTCTTATATTATAACAAAGCTACTGAAATAGTTGCTAATTATTCTAATCTTATTACAATAGAAGTAAAAAAAAAAATATTTTTAAGAGGAAATTTTTTTGAAAATTTGGTAATGAACAATAGGCGCTCCTATAATATAAAAAAGCAATTATTTAATCTAAAGTATTTTAAAGCATATAATAAACATATTTGTAAAAATTATAATAATAAATAGGCCTTTTATATTATAAAATCAAAAAGATAGGGCACTAATAACTTATAACAAGGCAATCGAATTAGATCCTCATGATTATTAAAATATAATAACAGAGGTAATAGAAATATTTAATAAATAGGAATATTATATTAAAATATGAGCAAATTGGGTCAAACATTAAAAGATTTTAATAAGGCGATTTAGTTTGACTTGCTAAACTCTTTAAGATTTTCTTTAAGCTCTTAAATTATGTGGTGATCTTTTATTATTTAGTTTAAATTATACTCTCAGAATAGCCATAAAAAACAATAAGAGTTAGAGTCATTTTAATTAAAATTGTAAAACAAATTATTAATCTTTTTGATTAATTGTGATATAATAAGTTGTAATATCTTGTAAAAATTGTTATTCAAGAATTGATTGACAATTTTGCTATTCAATTTTTGGAGACGAAATTGTCACAAAAGATGAAGAATTTGGAGAATCTAATATTTGGAGAGGGTTATCACTAATTTTCTTTTAGTTGCCGAATTTCATGTTCAAAATGTCATGAGGTTGTTTCTTAGGATTGTCATGAAAGTTATTTGTTTTTTAAGTATTCCTGATTTGACATTTATGATCAATATCTTAATTTAAAATGTAATTTTGAATTTTTGAACTGTAGCAAACCATCTTCTTTATTAAATTAATTAGGAGGAAACAATGTAAAAGTGGATTTTAAAATATTAATAGTAAGCAAAATAATTTTCCTGAAGGTTTTATAACTAAAAAACTTTAGGATTAATCTAAGAATTATAATTTAATTTATATTCATTATTAGAATTTAATATTTATTTACTCTAAAAAGCAATAGTCTCAAAACGTAACCTAATGATTCTTTAATTTCTATAGGTTTAAACTATCTGCAAGAGATGAGGTAAGAAATTTATTACTTTAATTCAAAAAGAGCTTTAAAATCTTATATTTACAGAATATCAAAAAGCAGTAGCTCAAATCTCAAATTATTAACTAATTTAATTAAATATCAATAAATTTAAAATGATAATTGATCTTTGAAAGGATGACCTAAAACTAAAAAAATAATTTGCTATACTAGCTTATTTATTTGAACACTCTAATCAAATCATCATTATTTAAACATAGTAAAAGTTCAGTACGTTGTTTTTGTCAATCTAATCACAATGCAATATATTCCTTCAAATTTTTGATCATAAATACAATATCTATCATATAAAATTGAGATAATTTTTTATTGTATTCTTTCAAACTATTTTTTGATAAAACTAGATCAATATCTAAGTTCGCATTCCACAACTCTTTATTGAATAGGCTAAGCAGAATACATTTGGCCATCCCTTGTTAGATGAAAAATAAATCAATATATATCATTTTCTT